ATAACTGGAAAAAAAAAAGTCAATAGTTGTCGCTATTGACCACTTCAGTGTTTAGTGTGAGTAGAGACAAATCAATGAAATGGTGTCATTAGAAACTTTAAAAGCTCTTATGGACACTTACTGAAGTCCTTCCCTAAGGTTAAACATAGACACCTTCCTTTACAAACCCTCTGCTTTTACATTTCTGTCATGCCATAGAACATCCCACACCAATCACAGATGGTGTACCAGTGTTCCCTTAGCATAGCTGTCCATTTATTTGGATTTGGGATGAAGGCACTGACTTCCATACCTGTCACATTTTAGCTTGAAGCACAGTCAACAGTAAGACGTGACTATTCTCCCCTGTTGAAAAGATTACAGATGATAGGGCAATGGTTCTCAACCTGTGGGTCGCAACCCTTTTGGTGGTCAAACAACCCTTTCACAGGAGTCACCTAAATACAGCCTGCATATCAGATATTTACATTATGATCCAACAGTAGCAAAATGACAGCTATGAAGTAGCAATGAAAATAATTTTAAGGTTGGGGGCCACCACAACATGAGGAACTGTATTAAAGGGTCATAGTATTAGGAAGGTTGGGAACCACTATGAGGGGGTAATAATAAGTAAAAATCAATCAGTGTGAACTATGTCAGAGACAATATTAATCTAGGATTTCATTAGTATTTTCAAGAAGACTTGGAGAATTAGCTTATTTGTGAAAATTTAATTGCTAAGGTGAAATGTAGGGTGAATGAGGCTTATAGGAAGGCATGAGCACAGTTCATGGATAGTCTCACATTCAATGTTCTTATAAACTCTAGATTTATAGAAAGGAGGTATTTGTCATTGACTATAAGACTAGAACAGGATGAGAAAAAGAAACTAGATTCTTATCTTGCTTAGTTGCATTTACTGAGATTATTGAATTTCACCGAGTTGCAGGTGAAATTGCTCTTGCTAAAATTCACCTGATTTCTTTATTATAGAAAATAAAATCATAAGCAAGTCTAAAATGTTTAATCTTTACATTTAAAAATTATTCAAAGTTACTGTTTACACTCTACATACACAGAGAAAAATCTTTTCAAATTCATCTTTGTTGAAGCTTTTTCAAGTAAACTTTATGAAATTTCACTGAAACAATGCTGGTAACCCTACCTATAAGCCTTAAAGAACCTGGATGCTGTAGGAATCAAAAAAGACCCAGGTAGCGAGCCATGGGAACAAGGAGCCATAAAAGATCCAGGTAGACTCCATTCCCTAACCACTGAATGGTTATGCTAATTCAACAAAGTTGTCTAGGCCTCATTTAAAGTTTGCAAAGTTTCGTGTCTACATACAGGATCTATTCTTCCATGATCTTCTGTTTGCTGAAGACCAAAGTGTCTCTCTTGCAGCATTTTGAACTTTCCAAGGAGTGCTGAGTGCAAATGCAGAAACGGGCAAAGAATAGATACGTGTTGATTTTGTGGCAAGTGCGGCAGCCCTTTGCTTGCCGTCCTGTACTTCCAGAGTTAATCACTCCTTCTGTGTTCTTCCCTCAGTACATTCCTTTCTGATGGAGTCTCTCACTTGTGTCTGTCTGCCTTTCTGGACTGTAAACCATTAGGACAGAGATTCATTCCTCTTTGTATTTGTAGTAACTTGTGTCTGATACATTCTGAGAGCGCAATTAAAATTTGTCAAAGTAAGACATTTTGTTTCAGTGGGTCAAATATCTGTTCATGCCACAGACATTTCCAGGGTAGACATGTTTTTATTTTTAAGGTACAGTGTTATACTCATCGTTGTCACTTGTCCCACAATTTCTAATATCTACAACAAAATTTTGGCAAAATACTAAAGGCTCAATCAACGTTAATGTTAAGGTTGAAAAGGCCATTAAGCAGAGCCTTCCCTGCTGGTATTCAGGTGGTGGGGTAAGTAAAACCAAAAGGTAAAGTCAGCTCTGCAAAAATAAAAAGTTTCCCCATTTTTGCCATAAAAATTGATAGCTACAATCTGAAATGTTTGATTGAACCAATCTGATTGGTACTTTAAAATATAACATTTGGAATTTCAGGGCAAAGAAAACTATCCTGTTACTATACTAGGGGACACTTGCCATGATCCATTTGGAACATCCATAGAACGTACAGCATCAAGAGTGAACTATAGATTTTGGACAATAAAGATGCGTCACCACAGGGTCATTAATTGTAACAAATGTATCACATTGATGAGGTCTGGTGGTGGTAGCAGAGTTTGGGGCAGGGCGAGAGGTGGAAAGCATGTGAGAACTCTCTGTACTTTCCACTCGGTTTTGCTATAAGCTTAAAACAAAAATATAAAGCCTATCTTTTGTTTTTAAAAAAGATAACAATAAGAGTACATGAAGATACATGAAGATTTCCTTTTCTTAGGACGCCAACCTAAATACTTCAGCACAATTTCACACAGGAAAAATAAAACCCAGATTGCTGTGAAAGCCACTGTTTCTTCTTTGGGCTTTTTTGAAGTCCTCTACAATCTCGACCAAAGACATTGATTCAATAAAGTTGCTAGGACAGTTCATCTTTACAGTTTATGACACTCTGTGTGAGACTGATAGGGAACTTTCAATGCCCAGTCATGGACTCATCAGCCATGGCTGGCACAACGCGACCAAATTGCCACGCTCTGGCATACATGGGCTAGCAAGCGGCCTCTAGGAGAACAGCTACATTATCGTGCCGCTGAGATGCTTCAACCGCCAATTGTGGTGATACAGCTATGTTACAAGGGCTCCCTCTTTCAGGAGTTTATTTCTCTCTGTGAGCTTGTAAACATTTAGCTTGGAAATCAAGATTAGGGCAGCAAAATGTTGGGAGGTTTAAAGCAGTTTGTTAATTCAAAAGAGGCAAAATGTATTTTGATGCCAGGTGAGAGTTTCTTGAGGTGATGTCAAGAGAACTTTATTTCAGAAAACTATTTTCCCTATCTAAAGAAGGTTTGGCTTTTTAACAAGTCAGGAACCCCACATTTCCCAGACTTGGTGGGTCCCCTAACTTCTGCGGCTGCTCTCACCGTCACACTCCTTAATGTCCAAAGGCACCAGGGCTGCAGAAGCACACTCTGAAAACTGTCAATATATTTGGATGACAGTAATAGCAGGCCACCTAAAATAACCTGGCACTTATTTTTCTCTAACAGAACTTACTCAATATTATCTAGTGGCGTGAAAGATGACTAGATAAAGCCGAGCAATGCTGCAGACTCTAACAGGAAGGCAAGCATGGACTGAGCCACAGGAAGAGCTCAAACCCCTGTCTCTATGTCATCCGTCCCTGCGCCCCATGAGTTTTGTTTGGGTCACTCGCAAAGCGGTGAGCTCATCTCGCTAGTACTCTTTCTTAATGCACCCTGTTATCTTTTACACCTAATTATGCATGTTACATACAATGAATAAGGTCATCGTGTTGAAGTGTATGACTCTGTGCAAGTGATTTTTATAAAATTGTGAATAGGCTTCCTTCAAATATTCTGTATCTTGATGATAGAACCAACACAGACAAATTACTAGTCTCTTCCCTTTTATCAGCTGTCCCTAACACCATCAGAAGCCTCTTTAAGTAAAGGCTGTTGTCCTTTCTGGGGCAAAAGATGTTTAAGTTGAACTGGACACTGTCTAAATAAGCCACACCATGTAAACTCTGTAAGAGCTTCTATTTCACTAAAACCCTCTACCCTAATAAATAATTAGTCCTTTAGTCCCTTAGGTTTTTAAAAAACTTTGATATTAATTAAAGTAGACTACATCTCTCCAGAGATACTGACAAACTTTGTAAGATCGTCACCTAAGGAGTAACACTTGTGGTCTATGTGAATATATTTTTATTTTACCTTAAGTAGTTTTTCCTCAGATGCTGTGTGATTTTACTATCAATATACTTAGATCACATCTGTGTGTTAGTTATACTTTTATTTATTTATGGATTTGCTTTTATTTGACTTATTCTTTTCTTAACCAGTAATATGCAAAAAAATTAGTTTGGTATATTAATTACATGGCTAATACACATTAAAATAATATTAAATGCAATCAGTGAAACCTGGTTTCTTGTACCGTCAATGAATCCCCAACAATAAATTTAAAAATAAATAAATAAATAAATAAAATAATATTAAAAGCCATGGACCCATTAAAATCATCACATACGCCACCAGTAAGATTCTTAGCACATACCATGGAAACTACTAATGCAGAAATTTCCTCCCATGGAAATAAAAATGCAACCTAGACCGGGAAAACATGAGAATGACCTTCCCTAACTCTCCTTCCTACAGGACAGGTGCAAAATAATCAAACAGAAAGTATTTGTTTACTTAGCACTGCATCCTGGAAAAAAAAAACACTTAAAAAATATTGTCATCATGAATCCTATGTATTCAATTCTGATATGAGGACAATTAATGACCTAGTACATGGGGGGTGGGGAGGAAGAGCAGAGAGAGGGAAGGAGGGAGGGGGTGGGGTCTCACCCACCTCTTGGGGGTAAGACACAATTATAAGAGGGACTTTACCTAACAAATGCAATCAGTGTAACCTGGTTTCTTGTACCCTCAATGAATCCCCAACAATTAAAAATAAATAAAATAAAATAAAACATTGTCATCAGATGAATTTTATAGTCAAAGACTATCCAAAGCATAAAGGGGGATATGACTCCAACACTGAGCTTCTGTGTGATGCAATTAACAGAAACATTTGATTGGAATGTACAGCTTTTAAGAAGAAGCAAGCACTTTCTGGAACCAAAACCTGAGGCTCTCGATGCTGACATGTGGTATGTGTGTGCCTCTGAATGTTTAATTTTCTTTCCTTCTAATCAAGTGACCTGTTCTCATTTGGTTAAGTTTCAACCACAAGACATCACTGTGTGCTTTTTTTTTTTTCAAGATACACGTCACAACACACCAAGAAAAGGGGAACTTCCAGCGTCTGTGGTAATATCACTTGATAAACAGGCTCCTTTGAACAGCAAGCGCCTGTCTGCCCTCACTATATAAAGCAGCAGAGACATCGCCTCGCTAACATTTGCAGTGAGCAGACCATGCGAGCAGCAGCCATCTCCAGGTCAGACTTAGACAGAATGCCAGGAATGTTCTTCTCTGCTAACCCAAAAGAACTGAAAGAAACTGGACATTCACTTCTAGACGACAAAACACAAAAAAGGAGGCCAAAGACTTTGTAAGTTCATTCAGGAACTCACTTGGTGAATTTTAATGCAGGTTATCTTGAATGGCTAGAGGATTGAGGAAGAATGGAAGAGAACGTGAGTGTTTAGTTTGCCCAGATCAGAGCAATTCCTCATTGTGAGTGATAATGTTCCGTTGTGCTAAAATATAAATCGGATACAGCATTAAATTAGATGGTAATTTTTTTCTAGAGATGGACTTATAAAAATGAGCTTTATCTTAATATAGCAAAATGTTGTATCAACTATTTTTATTATTACATTTTATTATCATCTATTGCATATTTTTTCTTCTTATAAATGAGCTGAATTCTGGTGAAGAAATATGAATATTCACATTTGTGTCTTTTGTAGTGGAATGGACATGAAAGCGTACCTGAGATCTATGATCCCACATCTGGAGTCTGGGATGAAACCTTCCAAGTCCAGGGAAATGTATGTACACTGATCTATTAAACTATCATGATTGTTTACAAGAGTAGCCCATGCATTTAGGTCTGCATTAATGCTAGGAAGAGATTAATACTGCACATATCATTCATTTCTTTTAAGTCACATGTCAAATAACATCAGGCTGCATTAGTGCAAATGTAAATTAAATACAAACAGGTATACACACATATTTGCTATTTTTCTCACTGTCAGATTTTTATCTGTTTAGAATTTTTCAAACTTTACTGACAAAAAAATCTTACTAATTTGCATAAATGTTTTCCTCGCAGACTTTCTGCTGCTGAAGTACTGCAGTGGTCTCAATCTCTGGAAAAACTTCTTGCCACCCAAAGTAAGTACAGCTGAATGACAGTGTTTCCAGATTCTGCTCAGGACCCCAACAGATCGGATGGATCCAGTTAAATATTGTATTCTAGGTAGGATAGGCTGCAAAAGTTGTAGTTTTTCTGTGATCACTGATAACTTCGGCATAGTACATATGTAAAACATTGTACTATGTACATGTATCAGTTATCACTGATAACTTCGGCATTTACATATGTAAAACAGGGTAGCCATAAAGTCTGTGAGCAATTTTAAATCATACACAAACTTTATGGCCCATACTTAGCACTCTTTTAGACAAATTTGCCAACATAATTAGATGTTTTTCCATGGATCCCGACAGAAATAAAATTAAATATTGTGCCGGGGGTTTGAAGTTTAAAGGTTTTAAAAGTAAGCCAAATATCAAAATATCAATATCTCAATACATGAAATATAATTCTGAAAGCTGCTTACAGAATGCACTTTTGTACAGTTGGGTGGTAAAACTAGGATACAGTCATGTAATTAATTATTTATCATTCATACATTCATTAACTTCCTTGTTCATGTGACAGGCATTTTAGAGAAACTAAGTATTTACTATCAGAGATTTTTAAGTACGATTTTAAATAAGATCCCTTACTGCCTTGTAGGTCAGGGAGATAGTGTTCATTAAATAATTACAGTATATGTAACATGACATATGGTATACACATAGACGTGACAAAAGAATTTTTTAAACACAAAGGGTTTTGTGGTCTTGTGGGGATTTTCTGGTGAGAGGAGGTAAAGAATAAAATCAGCTTGCCATCCCCGGTCAAGGGCAATGCAATTTTACTGGGATTAGGCCCTTGTTCAGAGATATTGATAAACAGCTTGGTCTCTACCTAAAGGATGAGATTCTCTAGAAAAGAGAACCTCTCTTCTCCACAAACACCCTAAAGACCCTTGCTTGAGAATCAAATAGTTCAAACTAGTTCTTCCATTTTATTATCTGACATAGTTTAAAATTCAATCAAATAAGTACATGGCATAGAAACTGCCCCGATGAAAGTCTCAGTAAACACTAGCAAATAGAATCAGTAATGAGGTACATAGATAATACTGAAATGTAGGCCTAATATTTTCTGGCTAATGTGAATTAGATGGGGAAATTATATTTGTTAGTTATCCACATGATATTAACGCCCTTTGCCAATGATTGCTTTCCTAAAATAGTCTACATTCTGGCTAAGAGTTATTATACATAAGAAAAGAGGCTGTTCCATAGTCAAAACTAAACATGGTATGACTGCAGACAAATTTGTTTGGCCCCAGATTTTTTCTCTATGAATGAAAGAAAGTCTAAGGCTTCCCCCTCTCTGTAAACTGTGGCACAGCTATTTCAGCATTAGCCATGTCTTACCTTTGTACAAAAGGAATGCAATAAATAGTATTTTTCTTATAAATTTCTTCTTCAATTTATTCACTAGTTGGCTCAATTACTTTAATTATTTTGATCTCCTTTCTTTTAGCTGGTCAAGATGTCTTTGGAAATTTCTTAAAATCAGAGTTCAGTGAGGAGAATATTGAGTTCTGGCTGGCTTGTGAAGACTATAAAAAAACAGACTCTGATCTTTTGCGTTGCAAAGCCGAGAAGATATATAAAGCATTTGTGCATTCAGATGCTGCTAAACAAGTGAGTATGAAGTTCATTATCACTGATTTCTGGGTAAATGAACTTAGATACAGAAATGACATTTAACATATATAACAAGATGAAATCCTTTATGGCTATCATGATTTTCTTTCTATATATTTATGTATATAAATATAGTTTAGTGCAACCAATACCTAAATTTTTGTATTTGTGAAGATTTCATCACAGTATGATGAAAACGTTGATTTTGTAAAACTAGGTAATATGATGGAGGTAGGGGGAGGAGTCTGGTGATAGTGGCCAGAATTACTTTCTTTCTTATTTTTTTTTTTTTTTTTTTTTTTGGCCTGGCCAGGTTTGAACCTACCACCTCCAGTATATGGGGCCAGTGCCCTACTCCTTGAGCCACAGGCGCCACCCAGTGGCCAGAATTTCATATCAGGGAGTCCTTAATGAACTATCTCATCTCAGATAAGGATAAAAATACAGATTAGTTTGATATATACAATCACAGCAGCAAAATACATTTCCAGTTATCAGTAGTACCATCTTCTAGATAAATAGTCTGGGTCCAAGAAGACAATAGCTGCACAGAGAGCCTTCTCCTCCTGTCAATCTTAAATGCCCACATCACTATTTGCGATTTATGTACTACATAGTTTGGACATTCAACTCTTTCAGGTTTTCTTCTTCTGCATCTCCCATTTATACTTTATCTTGGAGCAAAGACCTTTTTGTGATAGTTCTTTCTATCTCTCCCATTCCTAGTATAGGGCTCATTTAGAAGAAGCATTCAAAAGATATTCCACCCAATTTAAATGAGGCCTTAAAACCACTTTTAGGGGCTTCAAAAGACACAGCCAAATCATAACATTTGTAATAAATAAGAAGTGTATATCAACAAATAATGATTTCTTTTTAGATCAATATTGACTTCCGCACTCGAGAATCTACAGCCAAGAAGATTAAAGCACCTACCCCCACGTGTTTTGATGAAGCTCAAAAAGTCATATATACTCTTATGGAAAAGGACTCTTATCCCAGGTTCCTCAAATCAGATATTTACTTGAATCTTCTAAATGACCTTCAGGCTAATAGCCTAAAATGACTGGTTCCCAGCTGAAGGGAATTAAAAGATGGTATCAAGTACGGAAGGAATGTGCCAGTTTGACTCCTTGGGTAGACAACTTGGCCCTTCGGGTGACTTAACAGGCCCAGAGAAGAACAAATGACTGAGAATGGATTAACATGGAAGTTATCCAGGCACAGAGCCGAAGAAGCGTATGCAGTATGACAACTGAAAGACCATAGAAGGGAGATGCAATGGTACCGTCATACAAAAGGGTGGAACTCTGTATCAGAAAATCCCTCAGGACCGAGAAGGCTGGGCAGCTCCAGTTACACAGAAACTGTGAATAAAGGTTATGAACTGATGATAATAAGCTATAAGCTCCAAGGTCAACTGATATTTATGCTACATACTATTATATAGAGTTTGTATTGAGCTGCTGAAATCTCTTTAACATAGAAAACTAGTTGAAATAGATGTCTTTTACAATTGCCGTTTATTGACACAAAGCTTTTTAGGTATTATTTTGTTTATTTGATTGTTTCTGGCTTGGACAAGATGGAGAAAACAGTGCATTCAACTTGAGCTATTGCTCTTAAAACCAGAAAGTTAAAATATATCTGTAAATTAAATTATCAGTGCTAACAAAAATATGAGCTTTGTATTAAAATATAAAAGCAATTTCTGTGTACATTTCCTTTCTGTTTTAAAAAGCATTTATTCCTTGGATTCTAAAAAGCAAGAAAGGCCCTCCCTTCTAGCATGTCTCAAGTTCTAAAACTATTATCAAATTAATACTATATTTTATGGGTTAAATTGGACAGAATTCATCAGTTTTCTCCCTGCTATCATAATGCAAAAAGAATCATACAAATGGAGTTGAGCTTGGAATCGATGAGAAACTGAAGAAGTCCTTAAAAACAGGACAGAAAAGTTATTTCAAGAAATAATATAATTAACAACACATTTTATTGTAATTTAAAATTTATAAATTTATAAAACCCAGATGTATTTTCTCATTGAATGTTCGTAGCAATCCTATGAAAGCTGAGACTCCGAGAGTTTAAGTCATCAGGTCCCAAATTTAGCTAACTCTCAATATTACCTACAATGTTAAAATGAACACCCATTTCTTTCTTTGGGGATCCCTTACCAGATGGACTGAATTAGAATCTCCACGGGGAAGAATATGGAAATCTATATTTAAAAGGAAACCCTAGGTGATTCTGACTATTAGGTGATCTATTAACACAGGGCTGGGAACCTGGGGAAGAAGGCGCAGTGACACTGTCAGAGACTGCCAACGAGTCTTCTGAGTAGACAATCTATGCAATACTGCCACCCACTGACTAGAAGACATGTAGACCAGAAGACTTAACATCAGCAACAGTTCTAAGTCTAACCTAAACAGTGATCATCTAGAGAGAGCCAAAAAATAACCAAGGTGTACATATTCTGGTAGATCCTGTACTGTTGTGATCCCCATCCACCTGTGATCCACATCTTATCCCACAATCAGTCAACTACATACCATATGAAATACTGTGGATAATCTCTCTATGAGATGGCCCAGTCATTAGGCATAAAATAATAGCAAGGAGCAATACAAAGATCAGGTGTAAACAGCATTATATTGAGTTTCCATGGGACAGAGTCTAAGCTGGCTTTACTTTATGCTTTATTCTCATTCTTTACCAAGTCATATTATAAGAGTAACTTAGACAGTGAGTCCAGTTTCTTCTCCTTCTCCTACTCTTCCTCCTCTGCCTCCTTTATCAGGTCTCTCTTTTGTCTCACTCCATCACCCAATTCATGCAGCATCTTCTCCCTCTTTCCAACCTTTTTCTTTAATCCATCCTCTGAACTGCCATGAACTTCCTCTTCTGAAATACAGATCAGCATATCATAACATAAAAAAAAAAGTGTAAAAGTCTCATTCTGAAATTCAAAATCCTTCCATTGGGACTGGTATAGCTCTTATCACTACCCTCTGGGTATTCTTCCTCCCTTGAAGTCACACTGGATTATTCATCTTTTTTTTTTCTAAACAGAGTCTACCTATGTCACCCTCAGTAGAGTACCCTGGCATCACAGCTCATAGCAACCTCAAACTCTTGGGCTTAAGCAATTCTCTTGCCTCAGTCTCCCTAGTAGCTGGGACTTCAGGCACCTGCCACAACACCCAACTATTTTGTTGTTGTTGTTGCAGTTATCATTGTTGTTTCACTGGCCCGGGCCAGGTTTGAACCCACCAGCATCGGCGTATGTGGCCGGTGCCTTACCCACTGAGCTAAGGGCACTGCCCATATTCATCTCTTCTTAAACAAGCTTGAGCTTTCACTATCTCCAGGCCTTAATCTCTACTCTCTCTAAAATGCCCTTTCCTACCTCCTTCCAGTTTTCAAAGTCCAAACAAGTCTTCAAGCCCCAGATAGAATAAAATTATTTTTCCATAAATACTTTCATCACCTTATACCATTACGTAGTTATTTTCAATTTCTAGTGGAGATGAACTGCAGTCCCTATAAACACATGACACTCTGTTCCTATTTTTAGTACTACTGTCTCATCACACATACAGAGCAGTCATACAACGAACACTCCTGGTCTTTGTCTTGATAAAATGCCATGTTAAAGAGCCACACCATTTTAATCAGATGGCCTAAGCAAGCATCTAAGATAATTTTTTATTTTGAAAAAAAAAAAACTATCCTGGCTATTTAAATTCAAGGCAATGTAAAATACATGAAAAGATAATTTTCTTTTTATTGACTTTTGTTGTTATTCTGTGACTATTTCATAAGATCATTCACAGAAATAGGACAAGTCTTGGAGACATCTACTATTTCTGTAAATATGTTCCAGCTACACAATCTGAGATTTTCAGCTTATAGGCTATGTCCAGTTGTGATGCTAAAGCTGCGGCAGTAAACAACACACATAGTTAAAACTCAATGTCTATGGGGGCAAGATGGTGGTCTAGAAGCAGCCTGTATACACCACTCTCACAGAAAGGACTGAAGGTGGCAAGTCCTGCAGATCGATCATCTCACAGACAGCATTGTGAGTGAAAAAGAGGCAAAGGAAGCACCCGAAGTGTAGGAGAAGTAAGGCAACCTGCTCTGTGGTGTGAAGGTACACAGGGAGGATGATCCAAACGTAGGGAAGACACAGAGGGGAGAATACCAGGGTTTCACACACATCCCCTATATTACTGCTATTTAAGTAGCAGGGACCCTCCACCGCAGAAAGCTGCAGGACTGACATTGGGGAGCTTACCTCAAGACTTGGCAGCAGGGTCACTCTGGAGAGACAGCACAGTGGTGACCCTGGGTACTATAAACCCCGGGCCCTGTGGCCGGTGCCATTTTAAAACCCTAGACTCAGAGCACTTTGTCTACCCGGGGTCAGATCCATTGCTGCTGCCTCCCCATCACCCTTGTCAGTACGGGGGTGGGAAGGGAATGAAGAGGCTGGGCACTCTTGTGAGTCTGTGAGCAGTAACTGTGTTTCCCCACTGCTGCTGAGGGATCTGGGTGGGCTGCCACTGGAGGATACAAACCAGGCACCTCTCAAGCCAGAGCCCAGCCAACAATCTGTATGGGGCAGGTCTCAAGCCAGAGCACTGTCAACAAATGCAGCCTGAATGGGGCAGGTCTTAAGCCAGAATGAGCTGATAATCTCCACTGCCCATAGGCATGGGTAGGGCTACAGTGAAGCCACAATGGCTGGCAAACACTGCTGCCCACAAATGTGTCCTGGACAGCTCTCAAACCAAAGTAAACTGACAATCACTGTTGCCCATGGGCATGGGCAGAGCTGCACTCAAGCTGAAATCAGAATAGGAACTCTGCAATGAGAAAGAACAAGTTGTTTTGATTTCTCCAAAGGATCACAATAGGACTACAGCAACAAAAAACCTAAAGGAAATTGTTGAAAGATCAGCAATAGAATTCAGAATATGAATTCAGAATGATTTCAGAAAAATGAGATTGAAAAAAAGTTGAAAGCCAACACAAAGAAACCAAAAAAAAAAATGTTTCATGACATGAATGAGAAAATGAAAAAGCTTGGTAAACAGATAGACAACATAAGAAAAGATATAATAGAACTTAAAGAAATGACAGAGTCATAGGGAATTTCAATATACAGCAAGCAGTAAACATCAATAGGCTAGACCAAGCAAAAGAATGTCAGAGCTCAAAGACGTGGCTTTTGACCTGACCCAGTCAGTCAAAGATGAGGTAAAAAGAATAAGGAAGAATGAACACTCACTTGGAGAAGTATGATACTGCACACACCAAGCTAATATAAGAATTTTAGGTATCCCTGAGGGAGAAGAAGAAGAAAAAGCAAAAAGCATGGAAAACCTATTTGAGGGAATTATTGGGGAAAATTTCCCTGGTATCACCAGAGATTCAGATATCCACATATGAGATGGTCATCAAACACAAGGAAGATTCATAGCAAAGAGGATATCTCCAAAACACATAGTCATCAACCTGGCCAAAGTAAAAATGAAGGAGAAAATTCTACGAGCTATAAGATGAAAGCAACAACTAACTTAAATAGGAAAACCTATAAAGCTAACAGAAGACGTTTTAGGAGAGATTGTACCCCCAATCTATTTAGTCTTCTTAAATAGAACAACTGCAAGCCAAGAATTTATATCTCCTGCAAAACTAAGTTTCATAAATGATGGAGAAATAAAGATTTTTCCATCCTGCATTTCAGATATTTATGTTACGATTCATAACAGTAGCAAAATTACAGTTATGAAGTGGCAATGAAAATGATTTTATGGTTGGTGGTCACAAGTAAAAACACTAAGGGAATTTGAAACTAGACCTGCCCTACAGGAAATACTAAAAACTACATTATACATGGACTAGCGTAATAGAAACACATCAGTGTAAAAACACTTGAAAGTGTTGGGAGCTCACAGCTCTGATGAAACAGAAACACAAGAGGGAAAACAAAGCAACAAGGTATCATCCAACATGATAAACAGAACAGTAACCCACATATCAATACCACACCAAATGTGAATGGTCTGAATGTCCCACTTAAAAAGCATAGATGGGCCAAATGGATAAAAAAAAAACATACTCCAGAGTGGTGCCTGTGGCTCAAGGAGTAGGACCCAGCCCCATATACCAGAGGTGGTGGGATAAAACCAGCTGGCCAAAAACTGAAAAAAAAAAAAAAAAGCCACATCACATGTCTATTGTCTCCAAGAAACACATCTAACTTACAAAGATTTGCACTGACTCAAGGTTAAGAGATGAAAAGAAATATTCTACACAAATGGAAACCAAAAGTGAGAAGACGCAGCCATTCTCATATCAGATAAAATAGACTTTAAAACAATAGTAAAAACCAAAAAGACAAAAATGGTCATTTTATAACCTTCTATGAATGTTTCTCTATAGTCTGTATTTGACTGGATGTTGACTTGTCAATGCCTCCTTGACTTTGAATTTGAAAATGGTACAAAAAGAAAAAGACAAGAAACATGTTGACATTTGACTGGGTATTTACTTTCTAGCAGCTCTTTTGTCATGAATTTGCTACATGACCTTGAATTATTAGGGACATAAACTGAGTTCTATTTGGTGGAATCTGAATAGACAAGATAGCTACATATTCTAGGCATGGCAATAAGAGAACTTTGATTGTTCTCTG